TCTGTTGTTACTAGTTCCGCCATTCCATCAACTCTCTTACTTTTGAAAACTGCTTATATGCTCATGACTCATGAATATGTCTCTCCAGCCCAAACCATGTCCTAAGTTTGCTCCCTCAAGTATCACAATGTTGGCGACTCATTATCCCTTGATGATCCCATATTCATCTCCATATCATCATGTCCAAAATAGAAACCCCACCCCACATGTGCCAAACTGTATAAATGGCACCATAATCCCTTAAAGACCTGCATGTCATGGTACAGTCTCTTCCTGCCACCCCCCCCATTCCCCAATATACAGTATCATGTTTCATAAGTATTTTTCAGTCTGTGTTCTCTCTATTCCAATTATCCCTTCTTTCAGTATGTTGTCCAGATGAATTCAGTAGATGCTTCTCAGGTTTTCCTCATTCCACTCTTCAGCTCTTAAATACATCCTCTAGGTGCCCATCAGTGTCATGCACCTTTCTCAGCCAATATTCTTCAATTTCACCACTTCACCTGTAAGATGACATTCAGACTCCCACGCAAGTTGTCTTTGTGAGCAAGTTCTCTTTAACTTTAACACATTAATCTACTTACCCACATCTAGTTTTAGTCCTGTTCCCTTACTTTGTATTTTCATAACGCCAACCCACGTGTATTTTGCAGGACACTTCATGGAGTTTCATGCTACCATGTCTTCATTTGATTGACCCTTACAAATGTTTCAAGCCCCATTTATTTATTTTATTTATTTTTTTAAAGAATTTTTTAATGTTTATTTACTTTTGAGAGAGAGAGAGGGGCAGAGCATGAATTGGGGAGGGGCAGAGAGAGAGGGAGACACAGAATTTGAAGCAGGCTCCAGGATCTGAGCTGTCAGCACAGAGCCTGACACGGGGCTCAAACTCATGAACCATGAGATCATGACCTGAGCCAAAGTCAGACGCTTAACCAACTGAGCCACCCAGGTGTCCCTCAAACCCCACTTAATGTGTCAAACAGTGTAGACTCAAATAGGGCTTAATCGTAACCATCAGAATTTAACCAAGTCTAGGTAGTGAAGGGGAAAGTGGAAAGGACTAATGTTAGCTCAATTTCAAAATGCAAAATAAAATTCTAAGTGGTGGAGGATTAAGAAGGAGTAGGGTTATTTGAAGAAACTATCACCATACCTTTAATTAACAAGGTTTAAGGAATAGCTTATAAAATATCTAATGGTATACCAGCATTTTCTGCATTTAAAATATCTCTACTTTGATAAGATCAAGAAATCTACATCTTTATGGATGATCTGTAAGTAGTTTTACATATATTGTTATTGATAGTAAATACACTAAAAACCTTTTACAAGATTCTGACTTTTCAGATCTTTTCTGTTCTGGAAATATATTTGGGTTGTAAAGAGAAGAGTGAATGTAATCTATTTAAAAATATTTATCTTATTAAAAATTCAACTTCTAAATACTTCTCAGAAGGTCCAAAAATGATTTAATTAATTTGAAATTGGTTTTGAACTCCTTCAAAGATACTTTCAAGTTCACATTCTTGTGTGAGTTTGAGAACATTTGCAGCCTCCTATGTTAATATAATTACTTATACAGTTTAAGGATTATAGCCGTTAAATACTAATTTCATAATTTAAACTAATTACTAACAGTAAATTGAATGTTTAAAGAATGAGCACAGGTCAGTTTATGTAGAATTGTAACAAGCAAAAAAAAAAGGGGGGGGGTTTCCTAAAGTGAAATATAAATTTGAAAATAGACATTGCACAAAATTTCACCGGGATTAGAAAGTTAAAATGCTTTTGAAGTGCTAAGAATAGAATTAATCTCATCAGAGCAAAGTAATATAAGACTATTGGTTAAAACATATATTATTCATTCAATCACTTATTTATTCTATAAGTAGTTGTCACACCAATACTGAGTGGAAAACCTGTATAGTGTGCTGACAATACAAACAGAAGTGAGGTTCTCTTGCTTCCAGAGAACTAGTCAGTGAAACAGGAAAGGAAGTGATTAGAAAACAATGTGGTAAGTATTATAATCAAGCTAAGTACAATGCATTTGGAGAGCATAAGATAAAGAGTTTTGCCTTAAATCCATACTCTGGTAGTTTTTTCTATAGACTGAATAAGTAACATAATTTGTACCTGTATTTATGGCTATTAAAATATTATAAGAATACATACATATATGCATTCTTAATATAATAAACATCTGTAGCATTTTCATTTCATAGTATTTTTGAGTAAACATGAACAAGAATCAATGCCTGTCATAAAGATGAACCTGTATAATTACATAGATATGTATCTACACATATATACATATGGAGTTAATAAGGATTACTTATAAAAATAAATTTGAGATCCATCATTATTCCTCCTGAACTAATACAATACATGGGTCTTAAATGAGGATGAGTAGCCCAGGAAACAAGTAGGTTTTAGCCGTAATTGACTGCTGAAGACCATCTGAAGTTCAATGAGGGTAAGACTTCCAGACATGTCTAGACTCAGCAGGAAGGAATGTGGCTATTGATTATATGTGCTGTGGGCACAGAAAAGGAGAATGTTGTCTCACTGCATGCCATCCCTGGAGTGGGTTAACAACAGAGATACTAAATGGTGGTTAGCATTAGAATGAGGAAGAAGAGGGAGTGTAGCACATTAAAATTAAACGCAGACAGGAAAATTAGGTGTGAACAGTCATTCAAAGATGAGGTACTCTGATAAGACACCTGTTATAGACTAGAGTCAGCTCTCCTGTCTGAACGGAGGAAGAAGTGATTGAGGGACAGTGGAAGGGGGTAGTGGAACTTTGTTGCAGACCAACTCCAGTTTTCTTTAATTTGTGTTCAATTTGCAAATCATGAGGAAAACAAGAGTTTTGGAATGTATTGTTTTATGTTTAGTTGAAGTTGATTTTCAAGAGTCATCCTTTAGGGGGAAAAGGTTTTCACCTGGAAACAACAGATCTATTAATGACAATAACTTTTAAGGCACTGGAGACTTTTGGGCAACAGTAGGCCACAAGATAGTGTATTATGTAGTTACATTCATGCAGTTTTTAAAAAACTGTCCTGAATGACAGTCACAGATTAAGAGCCTTGAAATGCTCAGCTCCAGTGAACAACAAAAGTCTTAGCTTGATAGGATAACAATCCAGATGTAATCGCTGATAGACACAACATATTTCTGCTGAATATAAAGTCAAATTAACACCAGCAGGTTAAATAGTAGGACTTATTTTTAGAGTAAATCTTTTCCCTCGGTATAACCTATCAAGCTTGACATTTCCTCTCTCTTTGCTCCTATGTTTTCAACCCCTTCTCTCATGCATTTTTATGTATACAAAACTGAAGCTGACAAACACATTCAGTCTACTTGTTTGGTTTCCATAAGTGTGTGTGTGTGTGTGTGTGTGTGTGTGTGTGTGTGTACTGTGGAGGCCCTTATAAAATTCAGAAAGGGAATACATCAAGTCAAATAACAAATGTCCAATGTAAAAATATGATATCCATTTCAACATTTTCTTCAGATAGGTAGATCTATCAAAGCTCTCAGACAAAGAGATATCTGTCTATTGGTGAAGAAGCATTGTGCCTTCTAAGAAAGAAGACATTAAAATGTATATGTAAATTTGTGTGTGTATAGCAATGCCACAGTATTATATGTACATACATATACACACATGCATATGTATGTATATATGCATGTATGAGTGTGTGCCCAATCAATTTATACGTATTATATATAGAACGGAACATTGCTATTCTTTTAAATTTGTACATGGCTTACTATATTGGGGGAAAAAACCCTACCACTTCATCAATTATTTCTTCTTTAAATAATTTAATAATTTTAGTGGTACAAGAGAACCCAAATAGCTATTTTTTCAAAACAATATTGTTGAAGAGAAGTAAAAGACCCGGCTCTTCTAGCCACTCTCGCAAGGGTGAGGTGAAACTCACTGATAGGAAAACATGTGGTAGAAAACCCAGAGCATTAAGGCAATGGGAAGATGAGGGCCTGGATTTGTGAAATGTAACAAAAATGAGAGTGGAATAGACTGCATTGTGACCAGTTTTGGCTACTGGTGGGGTTTGAAAGGAGATGTAAGTACAGGATCAAAACAAAAACAAAACAATGACAACAAAAGCCACATCACATTGAGTTCTCAAGAAAAAAAAGACTTTTATCAGAAATAAGGATAACTTTTTGGTAGATTACATTTCAATTTAGATTTAAACCATAATTGGTCCATTTAAATGTGGTGTTCCATAGAAAGAAACTCAAATTTGGACCCAAAATATTCAGGAGAGCTATAGACCTCTAGTCAATCAGAAAATCAGAAAATGTTTGTAATAGCATCTTCACTCATCTTCTTTTGTGTCAACCTGTTCATGAAAGTTGCTCATAAGCTCAGTCCTCTCTTCTCACAAACTGCCCCCATCTTTTAGAGCATCCAGTTTGACTTGTGTTAGAGTAACTCAGAGTTGGATTAAAAGGAGATAATATTGAGTAAGCCATAGAGTGTTCACTAGGTCATTGGCCTTTTTCTAAACACTACATAGATGAATTCGCTAACTTTTAAAACTACTGTGTAAGTTATGTTTGATTATTATATAATTTATAGATGAAAAAACTGAGGCATAAAGAAGTTGCATACTCAAGGTAATTCAGTAATCAGTTCAGCCAGGTTCTGAGAGCCCAATCTATCATTACCTGGAGCATCTCTCTAATAACTGCACTGTCTTTGCTTATTCAGTGAGAGATGAGGTGATAACTTGAAGTCACACCATATTCCCATCATCTCTTTCATGGGGAGGACTCAAAACGTGGTCAAATTTCATAGTGCAAAATGTAGAAAGTTACTTGTACATTGGTTTCTCTTCTCAGTAGTGCCCATTCAGTGAGTAAAGGAGATGTACAATCAATGCGTACTGGCTTTGCTGGTGTGTTTGTTTTGTTGGACTGGGCAATCAGATTTAAGAATTCAAGAAAAAGTGCTCACTTTGGCAGCACATACACTAAAACTGAAGCAATGCAGAGAAGATTAGCATGGCCCGTGAGCAAGAATGACACACAAATTCATGAAGCAGTTTATAATTTTTTTGTGCTCAATAAATAATTTATTTTTTTAAATTTTAATGTTTTTTACTTATTTCTGAGAGAGAGAGAGACAGTATGGGTAGAGGAGGGTCAGAGATAGAGAGAGATAACAGAATCTGAAACAGGCTTCAGGCTCTGAGCTAGCTGTCAGCACGGAGCCCGACACGGGGTTTGAACCCATGAACCATGAGATCATGACCTGAGCCAAAGTCAGAGGCTTAACCAACTAAGCCATCCAGGCGCCCCCTCAATAAATAATTTAAAGCATAAAAAAGAATCTAAGAAATAATAGAAACTGGTTTGATGTTCTCTGTACACATAGTTTACTTTGTACTTCACCTTGTGCTAAAAGAAATTCAAGAGAGTGTCTTGGTTTTCTGATGCTCAAAGCTAAAGAGGAAAAATGCATAGACAAACTTAAAGCAGCTGAATGTCATGGAATTAAAAATGAATCTGGAATACCTGATTCTAAGAAATCTTGAATTTAAATGCCAGAGCCACAGTATGCCTATAATAATAGATTAATACAAAGAATGGCACCTTGTTTACTTCTATACTCTAACTTTGGTCTTCTTATCAACTTTTTCTATGGAGTTGGAATGTCAGTGATTAGGAAAAGAAATTCCCTTAATCAGGAAATCACAATATCAAAAAAATTTAAAAAATGGCACTGCATTTATGAATCTAGATTGCAGAGTGACTCTACCTACACTTTGCAATTTGATCTTCATAGTCACTCTTTCAAATAGATAGAGAATATTTTTTATCATCTCTGTTTTAGAAAGGAAGTGTAAGAAACTCAACAGATTTAAGGGACTTACCCAGGCTGACAAAGCCATTAAGTTGGATGTCATCCAAATCTTCTGAATCCAGTCCCTATGTTCTTTTGATTCTCAGGGTTTTTAATTATGATAGGCAGTAACAAAACCCCCAAATCTCAGCTTACACCCAAAAGTTTCTCATTCTTGCTTATATGGCCCACATAGTTTGGCAGGGTGTCCTCCACATGGGGACCCTGGCTATAAAGCTTCTCCATCTTGCAACTACACCATCTGAAACTTGATGTCTCCTTAGTTGCTGAATCTTTGGAAAGAGTACTGAAGGGTCTCACACCAACAATTAAGTGCTTCATCATTTCTTCTCACAAACCATTAACCAAAATTAGTCATGTGGAGGGAAGTCTCAGCTTTGTGTGAACTCAGAAGGGAAAGAGAATTGGATGTGACTCAGCACTGGAAGTCTTCTGATATGGTGACCTTGAATAAGTAATATTCACAGGTAGGAAAACGAGCATTAAAAACAATTGTGAAATAATTTCCCATACCAGGGGTTTCTTCAATTTCTATTTCTATAAATGACAGAATGAAAAAATAATGTCCCTTTAAATTAAGTCCAAAACACATTGTGTATGCTAGCTGCATTTAAAGTGCCAAAAGTCTGAAAGCCAGCCAGCTACAACATTCCTTACACTCTGTGAAAACAACAGCCTGTATTGTCCTGAGAGTACTGTCAATTCTTATTAAGGAACTTAGATTTTATGGGCATCCAACCTAATATCAAAATGGGAGAAGAAATAAATACAGCAGCAGATTTGCTTATTAATTGATTTTTTTTTCTTGGTAGCAAGGCATTAAAAACTTCCCAAGATCTGCTGTATTACTTCAGAGAGGTAGAGCTGTGCATACGTTTTTGTAGTTAGAGGTCTCTGACAATTATCGGGATGCATAATCATTCAATCCTGCTCTGAAGTCAGGAAGACTGAGAGAATAGTGAGGGAAATGACCAGAACAATTTTATATCTTAGAAATAAAAGAAATAATATAATTCAATGGAAAAAGAGTGAACTGCAGAGTCAAATGTCCTTTCTTTGGTTTTTGACTATGCCATTCATTCAGCCTCAAGCTTGTTGAATGTAAAAATAATACAAATGTTAACACCTGCCTTACTGGATAATTGCGAGGAACCAATGGGATAACTTTTTATGACAGCAGTCTCTAGACTGTAAAGCGCTGAAACCAAGCTTAGTTGTTACTGACAGTTTGTTGGGTTGATACAGAGGGAATGAAAGACCAAATTCTCTGACACCAAAGAACCAGGGTTGGGCCATTGAAAATGTAGCCAGAGGAACTTTCTGCCCTCAGGTTTCTTCCTTTGCTAGCTTTTCTTGCTGATGATCTAAGCATGGTATACTCTGTTCTTCCTTCCCCTATGCAGGTACAAGAGACTTAGATCTCATTTTATGTTTAGATACAGTGATCATTTTCAGAATCTTTTTTTTTTTTTCTAAATCCATTTTACATTATCAGTGAAAAAGTATGTGCGTAGAAAAAATATCAAAGAAGGCTTAAATTTTCAAGCATACTGGAATGATAATTTTTTTTCCGAAAACATTTGCCTATTAAGATATTCCATATGATTGGTATAATGAGACTTAATCCACTTTAAGGAAGATTGTGTATCTGTCTTCAAGTAACATGTGCCCTTTTGCACAAAATGTATGTGGGTGAAATGCTGCAATTTAAACTGTAGAGGTGAACTTGATCAAATAAATGAATACCTTAAATAAATGAAGAAACTAATCATTAAAATTCAGTTTCTACTGGATAAAACGTGTGGCCAGTGTTGTAAAGCAATATGCCTGTGCTACTATGGTACTAGTATTTTAGTTCAAGCTAGCAGGTTGAAGAATTGATGTTGAAAAACATTGCTTTTTGTTTATAAACACTACTTCATATGAATTAATTTCTTCTAAAATATAATCCTCATCTTTAATTTTTTTTCTAGTGCCAGAATTTTAAACTGTGTCATTTTAAACTGTCTACATAAAAGGAGAGTTAGAAATCTCCTGTAAAGAAAGTGTTTGAAGGGGTGCCTGGGTGGCTGTGTCTGACTCTTGATTTCAGCTCAGATCATGGTTCCAGGGTTATGAGATCAGCTCTGATCAGGCTCTTTGCTGAATGTGGAGCCTGCTTGAGATTCATTAATTCATCACCACCACCACCCCCGCCCTCTCCCCCTCCCTCTCACCACACGTCCCTCCCTCCCTCTGCCCTTCACCCATGCTCGCACATATAGTCTCTTCTCTCTCTAAAATAAAATTTAAAAAATTTTCACCGACAGGTAATTCCTCATGTCTCTAGTATACTTATGAATATTTTCATATTAACAGCCTACTATGGACAAAAACCCAATCTTGGTATATTGCAAGATTCTGTTGTTTATTTAATATATATTTGCTTGGATTTATTACTGACAGGTACTCTTCCAGGTGCCTGTAATATAGATGGTAAGGACATAGAAGATGAGTGTGGGTGAGGGGTTCTCTTTAGAGATAGTCTCTCTGAGGAGTTGAGAGTAAGCAGAGACCTAAATCAGTTAACCATTCCTAAATTTGGAAGCACAAATTGTATTTGTGTCTAGGAGAGCACTGCATACAAAAGCATTGCATACAAAAGTTAAAGGGCCATTGGTGTTCTTTCTATATGGGAAAGAAGCAAATGTGGCTACTTTGGCATGAGGAATTAAAAGAAAGGTCCTTGAAGCTAGATCATGGAGAGTTTCATAAGTCAGAATGAGAATTGTAGATTTGCTTTTGGCAAAATGGCAGCTATTGGAGATTCTGGGTTAGGTCAGAGGGACATGACTCAGTTTATGTTGTAAGGACTTCCCTGGCCACAGTCTGGAGACTAGTTTACAAAAGGTTAGTGTGTCAAGCAGGAAAAACACTTAAGACATCTGCAGCAAGCCAGAAGCTCACCTCCATGTGCCAAACACATGTCATGATTGCCGTTTAAGGAACAAATTAAATGGACTGGAAGTCCAATTTTGATATGGCCAAATTTTGTGACTATTTGGTGACTGGTTTAATACTCCTTGATGAAGTTGACAAGTTCTGAAATCTTTAAAGTCTCAGTTCCACTTATCAGTAAAATAGAATACCTGACTTCCCCTCTGCATGCAGTGGGGCAGGATCAAAGGAGATAATATGTACTGAAAGCCCTGAGAAAACCTTGAACTTCAAAGCGTAGTACTCTACAAATGTTGGGTATTGTTATGCATAATTATTGGTCCTGGTTTGATTTCAGGAAAGGACTGTTTGTTTTCTCTAAGTTGGTCAAAGAAGAACCACACATAATTCTAAACTACAGCTAAATCTAGTTGTACCCAAAGTAAATTCAGTGGAATCTAAAGATGGTCATTTAGATTTTTTTTTTATAAATGGAATTTTTCCTTGAAATTTAGGTGGCATAATATTGACCAACTTGGAGTACTTAAAGCTGGTAGGGTCACTTTTAAAATATATCTCTGGGGGCACCTGGGTGGCTCAGTTGGTTGAGCATCCAACTTCAGCTCAGGTCATGATCTCATGGTTTGTGGGTTGGAGTCCCGTGTCAGGCTCTGTGCTGATGGCTAGTTCAGAGCCTGGAACCTGCTTCAGATTATGTGTCTCGCTCTCTCTCTGACCCTCCCCTGCTCACACTGTCTCTCCCTCTCTCAGAAACAAATAAAACATTAAAAAAAAGTTTAAGAAAATATCTCTGGGCACCTGAGTGGCTGAGTCCGTTAAGCATCTCACTTTGGCTCAGGTCATGATCACATAGTTCATGGGTTTGAGCCCTCTGTGGGGCTCTGGGCCGACAGCTCAGGGCCTAGAACCTGCTTCAGATTCTGTCTCCCTCTCTCTCCCCCTTCCCCCCTTCAAAATAAATAAACATTAAAATAGAATTTAAAAAGTATGTCTCTGTGATGGGGGACCTGGGTATCTCAGTCGGTTAAACGGCTGACTTGGTTTCAGCTCAGGTGATTTCACGGTTCGTGAGTTCGAGCCCTACATTGGGCTCTGCACTGTCAGTACTTCACCCTCTCTTTGCCTCTCTGCTCCTCCCACTCTCTCTCTCAGAATTAAATAAATAAACTTAAAAATAAAAATAAAAAATAACTATGTGAAATGTCATTGTTATCAGTATGAAAATGAGCCATGGTGGTTTAATCAACTGTATT